GATGGGATCAATGGGATGGGATCGGGATCGGGATCGGGATTGATGGGATCAATGGGATTGGGATGGGATCGGGATCGGGATTGATGGAATCAATGGGATCAATGGGATGGGATTGGGATTGATGGGATTGGGATCGGGATTGATGGGATCAATGGGATGGGATCAGGATTGATGGGATCAATGGGATTGGGATTGATGGGATCAATGGGATTGGGATCAATGGGATCAATGGGACCGGGATTGATGGGATCAATGGGATCGGGATTGGGATCAATGGGATCAATGGGACCGGGATTGATGGGATCAATGGGATCAATGGGATTGGGATTGATGGGATCAATGGGATTGGGATTGATGGGATCAATGGGATCGGGACTGGGATTGATGGGATCAATGGGATCGGGATTGATGGGATCAATGGGATCAATGGGATCAATGGGATCGGGACTGGGATGGGATCAATGGGATTGGGACTGGAATCCTGGGGTTGGGATGGGATCAATGGGATCGGGACTGGAATCCTGGGATTGGGATTCCGGGATGGGATTTTGGGATCGGGGCTGGGATTCCATCCCCATTCCCAGATCCTTCCATCCCAAATCTCCGTCATTCCGGGCCAGAATTCCCGGGATTTCCCCTCCCCATTCCCGAATTCCCGGCATTCCCGGGATTTCCCCTCCCCATTCCCTGAATTCCCGAATTCCCGCCATTCCCAGGTGCGGGAGTCGCTGGCGGCCCAGACGGGGCTGACGGTTCGAGTGGTCCAGGTCTGGTTCCAGAACCAACGAGCCAAGGTGGGAATTCCCAGAATTCCCGGAATTCCCAGAATTCCTGGGGTTTTTCCCAGAATTCCCGGAATTCCCGGGGTTTTCCCGGGGTTTTTCCCAGAATTCCCGGGGTTTTCCCGGGGTTTTCCCGGGGTTTTCCCAGGATTTTCCCGGAATTCCCGGGGTTTTCCCGGGGTTTCTCCCGGGGTTTCTCCCGGGATTTTCCCGGGGTTTTCCCAGGGTTTTCCTGGGATTTTCCCGGGGTTTTCCCGGGTTTCTCCCGGGGTTTTTCCGGGATTTTCCCGGGGTTTTTCCCAGAATTCCCATGATTTTCCCGGGGTTTTCCCAGGGTTTTCCCGGGTTTCTCCCGGGGTTTTCCCGGGGTTTTCCCAGGATTTTCCCAGGATTTTCCTGGGGTTTTCCCGGGATTTTCCCGGGATTTTCCCGGGGTTTTCCCGGGATTTTCCCGGGGTTTTCACGGGGTTTTCCCGGGGTTTTTCCCAGAATTCCGGGGTTTTTCCCGGAATTCCCGGGGTTTCTCCCGGGGTTTTCCCGGGGTTTTCCCGGGATTTTCCCGGGGATTTTCCCGGGTTTCTCCCGGGATTTTCCCGGTTTTCCCGCGGCAGGTGAAGAAGCTCGCCCGCCGACAGCAGCAGGAGCAGCTCGGGAATTCCAGAGGGGAAATTCCAGAGGGGAGGAGAGGCCGGGATCGGGATGGGGAAGGTCGGGAATGGCGGGAAAATTGGGAATGGCGGGAAAATTGGGAATGGGGAAATTGGGAATTGGGGAAATTGGGAATTGGGGAAATTGGGAATTGGGAAATTGGGGAAATTGGGATGGGAAAATTGGGAAAATTGGGAATTAGGAAAATTGGGAATTGGGGATTGGCGGGAAAATTGGGAATTGGGAAAATTTGGAATTGGGAATTGGGGAAATTGGGAAAATTGGGAATGGGGAAAATTGGGAATTGGGAATTGGGGAAATTGGGAATTGGGAGGGGTTTGGGAATGTGGAAAATGGGAATTGGGGATGGGGAAATCGGGAATGGGGGTGGGAAAATGGGAAATTGGGAATGGGGAAATAATTGGGAATTGGGAACGGGGAAAACTGGGAATGGGGATGGGATTTGGGAATGGGGAAATTGGGAAAAGGGGATGGAAAACCGGGAATGGGAAATTGGGAATTGGGAAAATGGGAATGGCAAACTGGGAATGGGGAAATAATTGGGAATGGGGGATGGGAAACCGGGAATGGGGGTGGGAAATCGGGAATGGGGGATGGGAAATCGGGAATGGGGGATGGGAAACCAGGAATGGGGATGGAAAACTGGGAATGGGGATGGAAAACCGGGAATGGGGATGGAAAACCGGGAATGCCGAGGCCCCATCCCGGTTTTTCCCCCTCCCCCAATTCCCTTTTCCCGAGGTTTTTTCCCGCCTTTTCCCAGGCTCGGGAATTTTCCAGGAGCCTCCCGGGGACGCTCCGGGATCCAGCGAGAATTCCCGGCGGGCGAACCTCGGGAATGCCGGAATTCCCGGAATTCCGGAGTTTGGGAATGGCCGGGAGCGGCTCCAGCCCGGAATTCCGGGAATTCCAGAGTTTGGGAATGCCCTGGAGCGCCCCTATCCCGGAATTCCTGGAATTCCTGAGCCCGGGAATCCCCTGGAGCAACTCTATCCTGGAATTCCAGAGTTTGGGAATGGCCTGGAGCGCCCCTATCCTGGAATTCCTGGAATTCTGGAGTCCAGGAATGGCCGGGAGCGGCTCCAGCTCAGAATTCCGGGAATTCCAGAGTTTGGGAATGCCCTGGAGCGCCCCTATCCCGGAATTCCTGGAATTCCTGAGCCCGGGAATGCCCTGGAGCAGCTCCATCCTGGAATTCCGGAGTTTGGGAATCCCCGGGAGCAGCTCCATCCCGGAATTCCGGGAATTCCAGAGTTTGGGAATGGCCGGGAGCGGCTCCAGCCCGGAATTCCCGGAATTCCAGAGCCTGGGAATGCCCTGGAGCGCCCCTATCCTGGAATTCCTGGAATTTTGGAGTCTGGGAATGGCTGGGAGCGGCTCAATCCCGGAATTCCGGAGTTTGGGAATCCCCTGCAGCGCCCCTATCCTGGAATTCCCGGAATTCCTGAGCCTGGGAATCCCCTGGAGCGCCCCTATCCCGGAATTCCGGGAATTCCTGAGCCCGGGAATGCCCTGGAGCGGCTCCATCCCGGAATTCCGGAGTCTGGGAATGGCTGGGAGCGGCTCCATCCCGGAATTCCCGGAATTCCAGAGTTTGGGAATGCCCTGGAGCGCCCCTATCCCGGAATTCCCGGAATTCCTGAACCCGGGAATCCCCTGGAGCGCCCCTATCCTGGAATTCCGGGAATTCCTGAGCCCGGGAATCCCCTGGAGCGCCTTTGCTCCATGCACAGCTCCGACTTCACCTCCTGACAGCCCGGGAACGCCGGAATTCCCAGAAATCCCCGGAATCCTGGGAATTCCAGTCCCAGGAATCCCAAAAAATCCCAGAAATCCCCAAATTCCCAATCCCAGGAATCCCAAAATTCCCAAAATTCCCAATCCCAGGAATCCAGAAATTCCCAATCCCAGGAATCCCAAAAATCCCAATCCTGGAATTCCCAGAAATCCCAAAATTCCCAGTCCTGGGAATTCAGGGAATCCCAAAAATTCCCAATCTCAGAAATCCCGAAAATCCCAAAATTCCCGATCCCAGGAACCCCAAAAATCCCAAAATTCCCAATCCTGGGAAATCCCAGAAATCCCAAAATTCCCAATCCCAAAAATCCAGAAATTCCCAATCCCAGGAATCCCAAAAATCCCAAAATTCCCAATCCTGGGAAATTCTGGGAATCCCAATCCAGGGAATTCTCTGAAATTCCAATCCCAAAATTCCCAGAAATCCCAAAAAATCCCAGAAATCCCAAAATTCCCAATCCCAGAATTCCCAAACACCGGGATCGGCCGGAATTTGGGATTTTCCCCCTTTTCCCGATTTTTTTTGGGAATTTTCTGGAGGATTTGAAATAAAATCCCAGGAAAAAAATAAAAATTAAAATAAAATAAAATAAATGGGGAAAGTTTTGGGAATTTTTTTGGGGGGGGTGGGGTTGGAATTCCCGGGAATTTTGGGGGCATTTTGGAGGGAAAATTGGGAATAAAAAGGGGGAAAAATTTGGGAATAAAAAGAGGGAAAATGGGGAAAAAATGAGAAAAAATTGGGAAAAAAAGGAGGAAAAAATTGGGAATAAATTTGGGAAAAAAGGAGGGAAAAATTGGGAATAAAATGAGAAAAAATTTGGGAAAAAAGGAGAAAAAATTGGGAAAAAAGGAAGAAAAGTTGGGAATAAATTTGGGAAAAAAGGAGGGAAAATTTGGAATAAAAAAGAGAAAAATTTGGGAAAAAAGGAGGGAAAATTTGGAATAAATTTGGGAAAAAATGAGGGAAAAATTGGGAATAAAAAGGGGGAAAAATTTGGGAAAAAGGAGGGAAAATTTGGGAATAAAAAGAGAGAAAATGGGGGAAAAAAGGAGAAAAAATTGGGAAAAAAGGAGGAAAAAATTGGAATAAAAAGAGAAAAATTTGGGGAAAAAAGGAGGGAAAATTTGGGAATAAAAAGAGGGAAAATTTGGAATAAAAAAGAGGAAAAATTTGGGAAAAAAGGGAAAATTTGGGAATAAAAAGAGGGAAAACGGGGGAAAAAAAGGAGAAAAAATTGGGAAAAAAAGGAGAGAAAATTTGGAATAAAAAGAGGGAAAATGGGGGAAAAAAATGAGAAAAATTCAGGAAAAAAGGAGGAAAAAATTGGAATAAAAAAGAGAAAAATTTGGGAAAAAAGGAGGGAAAATTTGGGAATAAAAAGAGGGAAAATTTGGGAAAAAAAGGAGAAAAAATTGGGAAAACAAGGAGAGAAAATTTGGAATAAAAAAGAGGAAAAATTTGGGAAAAAAGGGAAAATTTGGGAATAAAAAGAGGGAAAACGGGGGAAAAAAAGGAGAAAAAATTGGGAAAAAAAGGAGAGAAAATTTGGAATAAAAAGAGGGAAAATGGGGGAAAAAAATGAGAAAAATTCAGGAAAAAAGGAGGAAAAAATTGGAATAAAAAAGAGAAAAATTTGGGAAAAAGGAGGGGAAAATTTGGGAATAAAAAGAGGGAAAATGGGGGAAAAAAGGAGAATAAATTTGGGAAAAAAGGAGGGAAAAATTGGGAATAAAATGAGAAAAAATTGGGAAAAAAGGAGGAAAAAATTGGGAATAAATTTGGGAAAAAAGAAGAGAAAATTTGGGAATAAAAAGAGAAAAATTTGGGAAAAAAGGAGAAAAATTTGGGAATAAATTTGGGAAAAATTGGGAAAAAAGGAGAGAAAATTTGGAATAAATTTGGGAAAAAAGGAGGGAAAATTTGGAATAAAAAGAGAGAAAATGGTGGAAAAAAAATGAGAAAAATTTAGGAAAAAAGGAGGGAAAATTTGGGAATAAAAAAAGAAAAATTTGGGAAAAAAGGAGGGAAAATTTGGGAATAAAAAGGAGGAAAAGTTGGGAATAAAAAGGAAGAAAATTTGGGAATACA